CATAAGGACAAGACAACAACAATCGTGCTAAGCAAGCTTCTTTTGATCGCTGAATGCTGGAATGACCTGAAGGTCTCATCATCATTCGCTGAAGCTTGAGCAATCTTCACACATATGTAGACAGGCTTGTAATCACTGAGTACCGCTTCAGATCACACACTCGCCAGTCTCTAGTCTTCAGTTTCAGTCTTCGACGTTTGCTGAAGGTTCTTTGGTGTGAGTGTTGTCTTCTTGAAGTATTGCTGTCTCTGATAGATTTACAATGAAAGCTCTTCAATGATCAATGAACATACTCAGTGAAGATCGCTGGAACTGAAAAGACAGAAACAAAAATACAACACATAATCGAAAAGGGATTATCGTCAAATCACTGAGAGAGAGGATCAACAGGCTGTGACAAGAATTGTCTTGGGCTTTGCTTTTTTCAATATTAATCTCGAAAGAATTGAAAACTAATAGATTTCATGGTATGCTCGGAATCTAGATGTTTGGAACAGGATTCTTGTGTTCTTTTAATCCTGACACAACTCTCATCAATTCTCTTAACTCACAACAACTACCCCTCTCATTTTCATTTTAGTCTCAGCACACAAACACTTCTGTATTTAACCTCACTCAGATATGGTTGTCCTCTTGGGTAGGTTTGTCGGTTCTGACATTCCATAGAGGTATTTCTGTTAAGCACTCAGTCCCTCCTAAATTTAGCAGTATTCTCAAATGATCACAAGAAATTGATCAAAAATATTATTGCATATAAAGCACAATGATCATATAAAATTTATCAAGAAATTTGGCTTTTAAACATGATCAATAAAGGAGTGATATGAAAACAATCAGATTATTCTGTATACGAGAGAAATGAATGAAGACCTGTAAGAACACGTTTACAGATTTTGATTTTCAAAGAATTAAAGAATGTATAGCAATCAAAGTAAAAAATATATCAGAAAAAAAACTTTGATAACTAACGAGCGTATTATCACCGAAAATGATTTTCTTATAAGAGATGTGATAATAACAGTTTGAAGAATAGCTGAAACAGGTATTGGAGTTATGATCGATGAGAAATTACGCAAGTAAAATCTCAGGAAATACCTGTTCAGAAAATATACTCGTTTCCAAAAAAAAAATTGTTCACTTCCCGAAAACATTTATCTAAAAACTTCTAGAGACTCCCCCTAGAAAGTAGATTTAAAAAATGTTTTAGTTAAGCTCAAAAGAAAGAAAAAAAATGAAAACATTTTAAGCACGGGTCCTAAACTGAGTGTTTAGAAACCACATTGGGTAAAACACGGGTACTGAACTGTTTTGTTCAGAAGCCTTGTTTGGACAATTTACAACTCCCCCTGAA